GCATTATCACAAGTTGTTAAGGAGTTTTTCTCATCATAGTGATTGAATAAGTATAGTGAAAGGATAAAACCCTGGCACACACCTTTCCTGATTTTAAACCATTCACTCTCCCCTTGTTCTGTTTGAACAGCTGCCTCTTGGTCTATGCACAGGTTCCTCATGAGCACAATGGGATACCCATTCTTCACAATGTTATCCATAGTCTATCAAGATCCACACAGTCGAAAGCCTTTGCGTAGTCAATAAAGACAAGTAAACATTTTTTCTGGTATTCTCTGCTTTCAGCCAAGATCCATCTGACATCAGCAATGATATCCCTAGACTCACATCCAGTTTGAACCTCTGACAGTTCCCTGTTGCTGTACTGTTGCAAACATTTTTTAAATTATCATCAGTAAAATTTTACTTGCATGTGCTATTAATGATATTGTTTGATGATTTCCACATTCCACTGGGACACCTGTCTTTGGGATGGGCACAAATATGGATCTCTTCCCATTGGTTGGCCAGGTAGCTGTCTTCCTTCTTAACATAGACAAGTGAGCATCTCCAGTGCTGCATCCGTTTGTTGAAACATTTTGATTTGTATTCCATCAATTCCTGGAGCTTTGCTTTTCGCCAATGCCTTCAGCAAAGCTTGAACGTCTTCCTTAGTACCATGGGTTCTTGGTCATAAGTTGCCTCTTGAAATAGTTGTAAGTCAACCATTTCTTTTTGGTATAGTGACTCTGGGTATTCCTTTTATATTCTTTTGATGATTTCTGCATCATTCAAGATTTTGCCCATAAACTCCTTCAATATTGCAAGCCCAGGCTTGAATGTTCTTCAGTTCTTTCATCTTCAGAAATGTTCTTCCCTTTTGGTTCTCTAACTCCAGGTCTGTGCACATTTCATTATAATATTTGACTTTGTCTTCTCAAGCTGTCCTTTGAAATTTTTTGATCATTTCTTCTACTTCCTAATTTCTTCCATTCATTTTAGCTTCTCTATTCTCAAGAGCAAGTTTCAGAGTCCCTTCTGACATCCATTGTTGTCTTTTCTTTCTTTCTTGTCTTTTTAATGAACTTTTGTTTTCCTCCTGAATGAAGTTCTTGATGTCATCCCACAACTCTCCTGATCTTCAGTCATCAGTGTCTAATGCATCAAATCTGCTTTTGAGATGATCTCTAAATCCAGGTGGGATATGTTTAAGGTCATATTTTGGCTCTCATGGACTTGTCGGAATTTTCTTCAGCTTCAACTTGAATTTGCATATGAGCAATTGATGGTCTGTTTCACAGTCTGCCCCTGGCCTTGTTTTAGCTTATGACATGGAGGTTTTCCACCGTCTCTTTCCACAGATGTAATCAACTTGATTCCTGTGTATTCCATCTGGCAAGCTCCAAATGGATAGTCACCTTTTATGTTGTTTTAAAAGGGTATTTGCACTGAATTAGTCATTGGTTTTGCAAATTTTATCATGTGATCTTCAGCATACTTTCTATCACCAAGACCTTATTTTCCAACGACTGATCTTCCTTTTTATTTACAACGTTTGCGTTCATCACCAGTAGTCGCCGATGCACGTTGGTTGCATGTTAGATCATTTTCAGGCTAAAGTTGGTAGAATTAATCAATTTCATCATTACTGACATTAGTGGTTGTTGCATAAATGTAAAACAAATTTAAATAATAGTGATATTAACTGATCTTCATTGTAGATATATGGATATTATCAACAGCATTGTATTTCATGATAGCTCTTGCAATGTTCTTTTTGACGATGAACGTGATGCCATTTTTCTTGATTTTGTCATTCCTGGCCTAACAAATCATATGATTGTCAGATTCAAAATGGCCAATACCAGTTCATTTCAGATCACTAATGCCTAGACATTGATCTTTTTGTATCTCATTTTGTTTTTTGCAACTTTCAACTTTCCTGGATTCATACTTTATACATTCCATGTTATGATTATTAAAATGAATGTTTGCAGACGTTTTTCCTCATTTTGAGTTGTGCCCCATCAGCAAATGAAGGTCCCAAATCTTTGCTCCATTCACATTATTATGGTCAACTCTACTTTAAGGAGTCAGCTCTTCTCCACTTGTATTTTGAGTCTTTTCCAACCTGAGGGAGCTCATCTTCCAGCAAAAATCTGACAGTGTTCTGCTATTCATAATGTTTTCAGGGGCTAAACATTCAGAAGCAGTCTGCCTCTCCTTCTTCCTAGTCTGTCTTAGTCTGGAAGCTCCACTGAAACCTGTCCATCATGGGTCACCCTGCTGGTATTTAAAATCCATGGCATAGCTTCCAGCATCACAGCAGCATACAAGCCACCACAATATGACTAACTGACAGATAAGTGGTGGTGAGGGACAATAAGACAAGGATGTTGGAAGAAACTAGTTTGTTAATTAGTCAATGATTTACTGTGTAGGGAGTCCCTGAGTGGTGGGTTATCACACCCAGCATGGCTAAACAACAAGGCCTGATGTAGGAAAAAATTGTCCTGTAATGTGAAGGGTCTATTTCATGAGATTCACAGTCTATAAGAGTCTATTCAATCAGTTCCAGATAGTGTAGTTGCTGGAGAAGTGAGCTGGTTATGCTATATTTAGCCATCAAGAAATAGATTCTGAGAAGATATTATTTGAATGAAAGTGTCCAGCATTTGGGAGGAACAGCATTGTGTGCAAAGGCACTGAGGTGAGGAGGAAATTGTAGAGCTCCTGGACAATGAGAAGCCCTTTAAAGCTTAGTGAGTAAGAAGTGATCAAGAGGGTATAGATTGAGAAATGGCCAACAACCAATTCCCACAGGACCTTATAAGAAGGACACAATTATACAAGCATCCAAAGGAAGAGCACCACATGGTCAAAATATGGCAAATGCAAAGACTTCAAGGCAGGACTACTGATTGTGGATGGAGCACAGTGGAAAAGAAGTCAGAGGGGTGGGTAGGGGCCTCACAGGCCTTGGTAAGACCTTGGTTTCATTCCATCTTTACTGGGAAACTCAAGGAGGGCCTTGTGTGTGCCATGACCTGATTTTCTTTTTATAAAGATTCATTTTACTTATATTGTGGTGAAAGTATATAGACAACAAAAAGTTCACCATTTCAATAAGGTGCACATATATAGTTAAGTGATACATTCTTTAAGTTAGGCAACAATTCTTATGATCCCTTTCCAAATTATTCCACCGTCATTATCATTAACACAAATTTACTGCCCCATAAAGTTCTCATCTGATCTTTCAAGTTGATTTTGTCAATATGATTCCACATGGTGGTGGTGTACTGTGAATTCAGTTCTGAATCATGGTGACCCTGCATAGGGTTTCTGAGGCTGTAAATCTTTACAGGAGCAGAAAGTCTCATCTTTCTCCTGTGAAACAGCTGGTAGTTTCAAACTGCTGACCTTGAGATTAGCAACTCGACTCATAACCACTATGCTGCATAGATAAGTCTTTGAAAGACCACAGTGCACAAGACATACATCACTAATTGTTGTTGTTGTTAAGTGCTGCTGAGTTTGTTCCAACTCACAGTGACCCTGTATAGTGTTTCTGAGACTTTTAAAATCTTTTGGGGAGCAGAAAGCCTCATCTTTCTCCCATGGAATGACTGGTGGACTCAGACTGCTGACCTTGTGGTTCGTAGTCCATTGCTTATCTTATAGAATTAAACTATTGTTTGGTTCAAGAATACCTTCAGGGGAAAGATCTGGCTTAAGGATTAAAGATAATCTCATGGCAATAGTTTCAAGACTTAATGGTTCCAGAAATTCTGAATTCCCTTGAGAATTTGAAATTCTGTTCACATACCTACCCTTTTGACCTAGTTGCCTTTTTAGAAGACATTTTGGTCTGCTCTGGGCAGCACACACTGTGGGGGAACAAAGACAAGTGGATGCAATTCTCCGTTTTATTGGTCTCTCTTGCCCACTCCTGGATTCCTTCTCCATTCTTAGACATCATCTGCATGCCCCCCTGGCCATGCCTGGGTCCTGGGCTCCCACAGACACTAACCACAGCTGGGCACAGGAGTTCATCCTGCTGGGCTTTGCCCACGTGCCCACCCTGCGTCCACTACTGTCCACACTGTTCCTGGCCATGTTCACACTCACATTGCTGGGTAACGGTCTCATCGTGCTGTTGACCATGTGGGACCCTGCCCTGCGTGCACCCATGTACTTCTTCCTGCGCCAGCTGGCCCTGGTGGAGCTCTGCTTCTCCCTGGATATTGTGCCCCGGCTGCTGACCACCCTGCTGTGGCCTGGGCGCAGCATGTCATCTGTGAGCTGTGCGCTGCAGATGCTGCTGGTGCTCTCCTGTGTTACGTCCGAGTGCTTCCTCCTGACTGTCATGGCCTGGGACCGCTACGTGGCCATCTGCAGGCCCCTGCACTATGGCACCATCATGAGCCCACAGCTCTGCCACCTGCTGGCTGCCACCTGCTGGATGGCTGGAGTCCCTGTGTCTCTGGTCTTCACCATCTGGCTTTTTAGCTTCCCCTTCTGTGGGCCACGTGGCATTCGCCACTTCTTCTGTGACATTGCCCCTCTGCTGAGCCTGGTATGTGCAGATACGAGGGTCTTTGAGGCCAATGTGTTGGTGGCCACAGTGCTGGTCATCATGGTTCCATTTTGTCTGATCACCACATCCTACATTGGGGTGTTGGCCACCGTCCTTCGGATGCCATCAGCCATGGGGCGCCACAAAGCTCTGTCCACATGTGCCTCTCATCTCATCGTGGTGATTCTGTTTTACGGCACAACAGGGGTCATCCACTTACGACCCAAGGCCAGCTACTCCCCAGAAAGCAAGCAGGTGGTGTCCCTCTCCTACACTCTGGTCACTCCCATGCTCAACCCCCTCATCTATAGCCTACGGAACAAGGAAGTGAAGGCTGCCCTGGGCCGTGTGTGCTGCAGACAACAAGGGCCTGGGCCCCATGACTGACCTCTTCAAGACCATCTTTCAGAGGAGTTTCAGATGTCTGTGTTTTCCTTCTGGAGAGCCGTAATTCCTCCTCATTCAGTCTGTGTGGTCAAGATGGTACTGATTTCACCTTTGTGCTCAAGACAATGCTTATGGTCAGCTTCATCTGATCACAATTATTCAGTGGGGATGGACAAATAAACCTATTTTGGCCCAGTTAAAGCATATCAGTCAGCCATTTCCACAACATTCTGTGTAATAAATCATCCTAAAGTCTAGCAACAAAACACAACATTTATTTTCATGAGTATGAAACAGTTGAGAGTGAGCATTTCTATAATGGGCTTTATGGGTGATTCTTCTTATCTGAGATGAAAATATTCATGCAAGTAGCTGCTGTTATATGTTGAATTACGTTCCCCCAGAAGGCATGTTGAACCCCATTTATCTATGAATGTGACCTTGTTCGTGAAAAAAAGGGTCTTTGGATATTATTATCAGTTAAGTCATACTAGAGGAGGTATAGGTGGGTCTGATCCTAATACCTTCTGATTGATGCTTTATGAAAAAGGAGAAGAGGCACCAGAAGAGAGTCACATACAGGGACAAAACAGATGCCAAGGACCACCCAGGATTGCAGTCACTAGAAGCTAAGAGAGAGCTTGGGACCGTTCCTCCCTCAATCTCTAAGAAGGAATTGACTCAGTAGATATGTTGGCTTAGACTTCTAGCCTCCAGGGCTTTGAGAAAATAATTTCTGTTCTTTAAAGCTACCGATCTGGGAATATTTTGTTATGGCAACCTGGAGGAACGAAAACAGGTGTTGGCTGATATTGGCTGGGCTCAGACAGCCATGACTCTGATCCACATGTCTCTCATCCTTCTCCTGGGACCAAAGAGAGACCTTGGCCATGTTTTTCTCATTGTGATAGCTGAGAGATGAAAAAGCAAGTGAATTTTCAATGAATTGTCAAGGCTTTGAATATCTTATTACCACACTCACTACCATAACCATTGATCAATGCAAGTCTAAATCTAACATTGCAGTGCAGGGAAATAGACTCTGTGACTTTATGGGTGGAAGTATGGCTCTATGGCAAAAGTTATGGATAGAGGAGAAAGTGAGGGATTTGGAAATTTGATAGAATCTGCTCCTGAAAGGCGGAACTCAAGATTTTTGTTCAAACTTTTGTTTGTCCATGGACTTGTAGCCTACATGTAATTAATAATTGAGACAGCGGTAAGAAAATCAGAACCAAAAAAGGAAGACTGATGAAATTCTAATGATTGTTCCTGAATCCAGTCATACCTGGAGTCTGTTCCACACTTGGGAACTCCCTAATCTACTAGGGGTAACTCGTGGGCAGAAGATGAAGCTGTCTGCTTCTGTAAAAGATTTACAGTCTCGGGAAACCCGAAGCAGTAGTGTTGCTATGAGTCAGAATTTACTTGATGGCAGTGTGAAAAATGAATGAAGAGCATTAATTGAGCACCTCCTACGTTCCAATAAATTAACTTTTCTTTTAAACCAGTTTGGGTTGACTTTTATATCCTTTCCAGTGACCAGACACAATTGGTTTACACTTGACAATTATCCTAAAGGTTGACAGTTCCAACTCAACTGGTGGCAACACAGAAGAAAATCATAGAATTATCCTTCCTTAAATATTACATCCAAGAAAGCCTTTTGGATCAAGTCTATTCTTCAACACATGGGGTTGCCATATGTCAGAATCAACTCAAGAGTTTGACTGGTTTTCAGTGACCTGCTTTCATCTCTTATAATTAGTCCTGTGAAAAAGTTCATTTAATTCATCTCTCAAACTCATTAGGAATATTTTGAACGTTGATAAATTTATCAAAATAGATGTTTCTTCTAGTCAGTTTATTCTACCAGTGTAGGGATTCGCTTATTTTAGAAGACAGACCTGGATTTGAACTGTCACTTTTTTCTTTTTTGCATGAACTACAACTTGATTTAATTTTCCCAAGCCTCTGTTTTCTCACCTGTGAAGTGGGAATGGTAACTATATATACTTCATGGAACAGTTAACATCAAATTAGGGAATTGTGGTAGTACCAAGGACAGAGCTTGGAACATAGGATTCAATTAATGATCTTCATTCGTTTTCTAAGTTCACTCACTGCCATCAAGTAAATTCTGACTCATAGCAACCCTACTTACATAGGGTTTCCCAAGACTGTAAATCTTTTACAGAAGCAGACAGATTCATCTTCCTCCCATGAGTTACCCCCAATAGATTAGGGAGCAAACAAAAAAAAGTCTCTATTTTGAAGTGGGAGCTTGAATTTGGAGTTCGGTGATCTGGGATTCAGATCTGAAGCCACAACCTTCATGGTTTTACAAGTTACATCTCACCTCTCTGAGGCTCCATTTCAACCTCTGCGAAACAGGATGGGTCATGGGAATAGTCTTTGCTCCACCTACCACCTCAGATTTCTGTGAAGACATAATGGGAGAACTGGGTAAAGTACAGCCTTCACAGAGATAAAATAGATGGTGATGATGATGGGGACGGGGTGTGTTATGTGATTGTTACAGTGTCCTAACACTAGTGATATTTCCAACAAAGTGGTATTTGATTTAAATTTCAAAGAATGAATTGGATTTCATCCCAACAAGGGATAGTCTCTGGACAGAGGGTCTGTCTTGGAAAAATGTTCTTAGGAACTAATGTATGTTGTGTTTCTGGATGTTAAGATATTTGACTGGAAATTCTTCTGAACTTTTTTCTTTTCCTTTTCATAGAAAAAGGTTCAGAAGGATTTACACACAAATATCTTAGCATAGTCTACATAGGCAAAGGATCAAGGAACAATAAAAGTGGAGTGTGTAGGAAAATAAATCAGCAGCCTTCTATCATTATGACTTTATGTTTTCACAAATTGTAGTAAACAGATGTTACTTTATTTGTTGTTGTTGTCAGGTGCCATCGAGTTGGAACTGACTCATAGCGACCCCATGAACAGCAGAACAAAACAATGTCCGATCCTGGGCCAACCTCACTAAAGCTGCCACACTTGAGTCCATCAATAATGCCACCTGGCCAATCCATCTCATTAGGGGTCTTCCTCTTTTTCTCTGACCCTCCATCTTACCCAGCATGACATCTTTCTCCAGTGACTGTTCCCTCCTGACAACATGTCCAAAGTATGAGAGGTGAAGCTTAGCCACCTGGCCTCCAAGGAGCACTCTGGCTGCACTTCTTCCAAAACAGATCTATTGGTTCTTTTGGTAGTCCATGGCACTTTCAATATTCTCCTCCAACACCACAACTCAAAGGCATCAATTCTTCTACGATCTTCCTTATTCACTGTCCAGCTTTCACATCCATATGAGGCTATTGAAAATACCATGGCTTGGGTCAGGTGCACCTTAGTCCTCATGAGAAATTTAATAAAACATTTTTCAAGTACCCAAATGTGGAAATATCAGTGACCTTGGTTCTCAGTTCTCCCTAGAAAATATTAACAGATTACTTAGGTCTATTCTTCAATACAGAGTCACCAGGCATCATAACCAACTCAATAGCAAGCAGTGGGGGAATGTCTGTAGAATGTTATTGATTTCCTTTTGATTTAGCAAAAATGTTTTAAGTAAGAAAATGTGAAAATATCAACATACATTTCTAACATCTTCATAGGAAAAGTTGATATATTACTTGGGGCTTCATGATGTGTCTATAGCACTGTTTATTATTTCCCTTGAACCCACACACAAAAAAGAGGAAACTGTGTGTAATTTGACTTTGTCTTTTGTGTCAGTATACTGAATTCTTTAGAAATAGGGAGTAATTCTCTGTTGGAGGGAATAAGGAATACTAGAAGAGAAGACTTTGAGTATCATAGTAATGAGGTTGGGCTTTTACCGACAAGGTTTCAGAGAAAGTTTTAAGATAGTTCTCTCAAAACCCAGGACCATAATCTTTGCATGTGGATTATTTCTTGACTTGTATGTCATTTGAATAATCATAAGCAACTTCATGGAAACTCAGATCAAGTGTCTTCTCTCCTGGAAAGCGTTTTCAGACCCTCCACCCTGTACAAGGAGGTCCTCTACCTTGCTTCCAACCCCGTTAGTGCTTTTCACAATGTGTTATGCACATATGCTTTCATGTTGATGTGTTCCACCCATATATTTATCAACCACAGACAAAAGCTATTTCTCACTCATCTATATACCCCAGTTTTAATCAAGGGTCTTGCACTTGGAAGGAAATAAATCTATGCAAGTTTATCTGAGTCGAGAGTGGCTTGGAGGTAGATTTTTATCTCCTCCTCCTCTACTTAAGCCTCTTTACGGTATCAGTTTTTTAAAGTTTTCCACTTCATATCTTCTCCAAATCCTCAGAGACCAACAGATGTCTCTGAGGTCCAGTGAGACAGTTTAAGCTTGCTTCCCTTCCTCCTTCTCACTGTAAGAACAATCAACTCAACAGCTCAGCCACTGTGCAGAACTGTAAGGAGCTGTGAAGAGACGCCAAGAGTGAGGTGGGAACCTTGTTCAGAACCAAGGACAGTTCCCTCCAAGATGGCCTGAAAGACAATTCTTCCACTCATTGAAATCTCTACCTATGAGCAGAAGTTGAATGCACCTGGGCATGCAAATTGTCTCCAGGTGCAGCTCCAGAAAATTGCAATTTGTAGTTGTGCCTTTATACCACCAGGTGAGGAGAACAAATGCTGTTCTTTGGAGATGAAGAAAAGGAAAAACAGAAACAAACTTTTCTTTGTAGAGCATCCAAATGCCAAGAACAGACTCTCAACACTGTAGAGATAATTGATTGATTTAACCTTCTATGAACCTGATTAAATAATAGCTGTTGATTTTTGCTGTTGTGTGCCATCAGGTTGATTCTGACAACATAGTGACTATATGTGACAGAGTAGAACTGCCCCATAGGTTTCCTAGGCTACATTCTTTACAGGAGCCCATCACCAGGTCTGTATCCCACGGAACCACTTTTGGTTAGCATCCAAGAACTTAACTGTAGCATCAT